CTCAAAAAATGCTGGGTATTAGTGAAAACGTGACTTTACTGCGGATATATCAAAAACGGAACCTAAATTTGGGGTACTTGCCGATCTATCAAAAACGGATATCAAAAACGAAACTTTTGCTACTCTGAAGTTTTTAATCATGTGTATGCTTATGTATCGGACAATATGATGTAATGTACGCCACACGCAAAGTTTTTTTAAATCGCGGAAATCACAAAAAATTATAACAATCTATTTCGTAAATATGCCAAACCCACTTAAATATATTCAAGAAAAAAACATTAGAAAACTTGCAAAAAAAAGCGACACAAGTGTGTAAAAATTAGCAGTTAAATTATTTCCATGCCCATACATATTAATTAATATTCTCTTGTTTAGCATTTGATAATCTCCCTCCCGTGCTTCAAAATCGTAAAACAGCTACCTTGGTCCTCAAAGCTCTAAAAAAAGATCAAGATATGCCCGCTCTTTTATTTGAGTGGAATGAGGCAGGTTTCAATGATGTTCCCACTGCTCCAGGTCTTCGAAATGGCATTGCTGGCCAAAACAGGGTTGCGATTATCACAAATATTACAACAAATGGTGCAACAAGCTATAATGATATCGTATTTACATTTCCAAATGGCAATGCCATTGGAGTATGGGTTAATCAGACACGCGTGAATATACCATGGTATGAATGAAGACTGATTTCATGTTTTTCAGATTCTTCAACATTAACTTAGATCAATTATTCCTTTTATTCGCTAAAGGGCAATGAATCAACCAGGCATTCCAAATGTTTGCACTTCAGTCACCAGAATTAACCGAATTACTGAACGTGATACAGGCACACCTTCAACTGCGTTTGATCTTGAGGACTTTTCAATTGTCTTGAATCCTTAATAGTTGATACTGCTAGTTTTACTGGTTGATTTCAAAAATATTATATTGTTTCGCAAAATCATGTGAATGAAATTTCAGCTAGGGCGCCCCGGCCAAAAAATATTTCTCAAATGATATCCGATGGTATTCGAGATGATACACACCCTCAGAAATCAATTCCCGATATATCTACTGTCTCTGACAATGATATCTTATTACAACGAAATCAAATATCTTCTTCAGTACCAATGCTTGCTTTGGCTCAGTTATTCGACAAAGCAACTGATGTTGAATATAATGCCATTTGTGCTAACTAGGAAGAAATTTTGTGCTGGTGTTATTATGGGAAAGAATTCAGTACAAAAATATAATAAAAAATAGCAGTGATAAAATGTTAGAACAACTTTCCATTCTCCGTAAAAAGAGATCTGAAGATACAGGATTACAATACCCAGAAATCTCGCGTAAATACTTACAAGGAAAAACTCAGAAAGCTGTAAAAATATATAAATTATTTGAAAAAATAGGTGTAGAGAAAATTAAACATATACACTGCGACTCGAAGAATCATGATCATTGGTTAAATAAAGGGATTTTCGTGTAAATACGTATATCAATGATCGATTATGAATTATATCACGGTTGAATCGCGGTTCAATCACGGCAGATAAAAATGGTGATTTCCCTATATAATTATATGAATCACACTGCGATCACGGCCCATCACGGGCTTCATCACGGTTGATTACAAATGCGATGCTGAGATTTCGAATGCACAAAAAATGAATCCAGTTTTAACTATCAATATAAAACTAAATCTAATAGGTCTAAATTCCTAAATTCGATATAAATCGCATAATCTATAAAAACACTATAAATTACTTAATCGTTAAATATGATCTATACAGATAAATGCCCAGTTTTGAGTGATACTGAATGGAGAGATAATTGTCAATTCCCAGCAATGCTTGATGGAGAAACCCCATCTGAATGGAAGAAACGAATCTGGGATCAGTTAATATACTATAGAAACAATAATCGTCTAGGTAATGATAAGAAGTGATATCTTATTGCAAGAAAGTATGAACCTTTAGAAGGATATAACAATAGATTTTATGTTGAAACGAACATTGCTATATGTTATAGCTGTGATCAGTTTGTTTATGTCGATAAAAGAGTAGGATATAAATCATGTCTTAATTATAAGATGGGAGAATATTGGCATATAAATTGTACTGGAAATAGACATTGTGATATAAGTTTCAAAGAGTATATGGAGCTTAAACAAAAACCAAAAGCCAAATGTGATATTTTCACAAGGCTAGCTATTCATTGTTATGAATTATGAATAGAAAATCTTATCAATAGAGTTAAACATATTTGAGAAATAGCAAAAAAAATCTGAGCTGTAAATATTATAGCACAAAAATGGCTTGAATATATGTATCATCCTGATGATATGACAGTCAAAGAATTAGAATTACATTACCAATTATTATGAGCAGTTAGAGTGGAAATGCGTCAAGTTAACAACATATAATACACATATTCATTTATGTGATTTAACCTATTTATATAATTTATTCATATATATCTATTTAAAAAACTTATTTATCAATATATTATTTTTAACTTTTTTTTACAAAGTCCAAGATATACAGCATGTATATTGTTCTCCTGAACAGTGCATCATTCCAAATTGGATACTTTATTATTGATAAAATTACCATCAATATGATTTACAGATTCTTTACCTTCTGCTTTTAAACAAAAAGCTAAAGTAACAAGATGATGAACTGGATAAATCTTATTTATTATATCAATTTGAAAATATTCTTTATATAAAGATTCTTGAGAGATCAAATCACTAGATAGTTGAATATTCTCTAAAGTTGATACTTTGATTTTTTGTGAATTGAGTTCTATTTCTTTTTATTCTTCATTGAGATTAGGATTTATATAGTCTTCATAATACATCCAATATCATCTATCAGAAGTATTTTGTTTTTTTCTATAATATACTCAAATATTAGATTGTAAAATTTTAAGAATATTACTTACATGAATAATTGAATTCCAGAATTGAATAATATTTCTATTTAATGATGCTCTATTCATCTAGAAGATTCTTTATTTTGTCAATTTGAAAAAATTTTTCATTCAGCATTTTCTTTAGAACTAACCCATTCAAGATTATCTACCTGATTATTATGTTTGATATCATTAATATGATTAACATAAGATTTATTTTTTGAATTAGGGATAAATACTTGAGTGATTAAAATATGAGCTTTTTTTATTGATAGAATATCATTAATATTTAATGAAATCTGTACATAACCACTTTTTTTGTGAATATTTTCTTTTAAAATTTCTGAATTTACTATAGGTAACCAAACTTTTATCCTAATTTATAATTCATCTATTTTTTTAAATCTGTAAATTATAGGTTAATTGTTATTTCATTATTTCTGAGAGTTAGTAATATTTTTTATGATATAGCCATGAGTTTTTAACTCTACATTGATTTTTTATTAATATATATTTCATAATTTTTACATGTAAACTTTTTGCATATAAATTAATAGTTAATATTTTATCCTAATTATAACTTATCATAATGAAACTACCAAAAAGCCTAGTTCAGAGAGCATATTATAGGCTTTTATATCACTTTAGATCTCTTATTATATTAGAGCAAATTTCTGAAAAATGAAATTGAATTGAAATTTATTTATATTATACATTAGAGGTATATAAAAAAGAATTAAAGTGAAAATATAAAAAATAAATCAAAACTATGTCTCAAAGAGGCATCCTTTATGGATCAGATGAGGTTGAAAAAAAGAAGATAGAATTACAAAAGGCTAAAAGATTCCTAGAAAATCTAAAATCTCATTCTACCTATCTTGCAAATTTTTATCAAGTATATAGATAATATTATATTATTTTTTTTGTATATTGTCAGGTAATGATAGCTTTTGTTAGCAGATAATAACTTTTCTTTATCCATGAAAAAATATGATAGTAAAAAAAAGATATTCTGAAAATTATATTACTATTAATGAGTTATTGAATAAGTTCTTTCATGTTAATTTTTTCCAGATAGCTAGCATATAATTCATAATGATATTTCCTATTATCAGTATATATTATATTGTTTGTCATCTTTTTTTATAGGAAAGTTATTTGTAGAGTTAACAAGTATAGTTATATAATAAGTTATCTCAGAAAGATAAATGCAAAATATATTACATATAGTAGATAATAACATATCTTTACATGAGAGGAAAAAGAATGATATAATTCTGCATTAACCATCAATGATAATTACACAGTAGCTATGAGATAAATGCAAGATAACTGCATATATAATAGCAACTAATAACAAATAAATAACTAACTAATAGATAACTTTTTGATAATTTGTTACTATCTATACATATTATATTATTTATTATCTTCTTTTATCAGGTTATTTGTTAAATTAATAAGTATAATTATATAATAAGTTGTTTGAATGATAATTTTTCTTTATCTAATAATTTTTCATGACAAGTATATTTATTTTGATAACTAATTAGATAAGATATATAATAACAGAGCTTAATAACTATCTGATCTATATCAAGAGAGACCTATTAATTATTTTATTCATTATTTATTAATGCTATCTGTTTTACTATTAATATATGTTATATAGTAGATAAGTAAAAGATAGTTATTGTATAATAATTGCAAATAATGAATAAAACTATATAATAATTAATTGATAAATTTTAACTATCAGGTAGATAATATTTAATAATAATTTTTATTAGTAGATGATAGTTTTTGTTAGCAGATGATAGCTTTTGTTAGCAGATGATAGCTTTTATTAGCAGATAATAGCAGATGATCATTTTTCTTTATTCACATAAAATATAATAGTAAAAGAAAAAATTATTTCAGAAAAAGATAGTACATTAATAATTAATAATAATGGAGTATATAACATGATAAGTAACAATGAATAATAGCATAAATCTATTGCATATAGCTGACAGCTAAGTAATTTACTACTTAATATTATATATTATTCTGTGTTATCCTATATTATTCTGCATTATCCTGTATTATCCTGCATTATCCTGCATTATTCTGCATTATCCTGTATTATTCTGTATTTATCTCATAGATATATTACTTATTATATGTGTAGTAACTTTTGTGATAATTGAATGATAAAGAGTTAATAAATTGGTAGATGATGGTAAAATCATCCTATTATCTTTGTTATAATAGATATAAAGTTAATAAGTAACTGTCAGCAAATATATAACAAGTAATTTTTTGCAATAGTTCATAAATACTATCTGTCTTACTATCAATATATGCTATACAGTAAATAACAAAAAATTATCAGTATATAATAATTTTGATAACTATGAATAATAACTTTGTTAATAAATGATAATAATTATTCTTTATCATATAATGATATAAACTTAAAAATTCTGTGATTTAGAAGTTATTATCATATAACAGCATCTGCTATTTTTGTGAGATAACTGATTGGATAAATTGGCAGATGACAAAGAGATCATAATTGAATTATTATATTACTGTTACTGTAGTAATATAAATTTCTTTAATTTCATAATTTTTTAAACTTGGAAAATTTGGTCAATCAATTAATCTTTAGAAGATATGTGATTTAGAATAATATAATTAATATATCAGTTATAGATTCAGTTATGATTTAATAATATTTTTGTAATATTTTTGCAATATTTTTGTAATATTTTTACAATATTCTAAGATTATCAATAAATAATTAGTCCTAAAATCAATAATAATTCACAAATGATTTAGTAATAATTCAGAAATACTTTAGAAATGATTCAATAACAAATTTTATTTATTTTTATCATTTATCTTTTCTTTTTAGAATATATATTTTATCTTTTTATTTTATTTTGTCATTTATATTATCATAAAAGTTACTACACATATAATAAGTAATATATCTATGAGATAAA